ATTAAATATTTTATTTAGAAAAGATATAGCTAAAATCAATATTTAAAATTTTATTAAAAAATTTTAAAATTTAAAAAGTTTGCAGGCAAATTTGGCTGCAAAACAATTTAAGGGATAGAGTAATACAATTTATTTGTAGTATAAAGGTATTATAGATAGTGTATAAAGGCTAGAATAAGGCTTAGTAAGGGTTAATAGTAAAATCAGATTTAATTATTTGTTGCATTAGGTAAAATTATATGACAAATATTATAGATAAATAAGAAAAAGAGATAATAATTTTTATTCTATATAGACCTGTGGGTTGATAGCATAGCGGTTATGCTCCCAGGTTACAAATTGAAAGGTTGTCAGTTTAATTCCTCTTAGCAGCAAAATAATGAAAACCCAAATATAGAAATAAAACACTGCAAGGTACAGAAAACTTGGGATATCTTCAGATAAATATATTCGGAAAATAGTTATTCCAAGAAGTTGTAGCTGTGAAATGAGGTGTGTAAGAACCCCGATTTGGAATAACTGAAGTCACGAGACGTAATATGAGGTTAAAGTCTGAGAGGATACTACATGAACTTATAGCAGCACCACATTGGCTTGTGAAATAGCGGTTCGGTATAAGGTGTTTTGACCCTCTTCGGAGTGTCGTGTAGGTGGTCATATCTAGGCCCCAATGAGAGAACTGGAAAATGTCAGGTAATAGATACCAGATGGATATATATAATACCTGTATGGGGTTATAGAGGTCCTGTGATACTAGTAGTGTAGAGTTAACTATATAATAGCTGGACCAAGTTATAGTGAAGACTTGCTAAAGAAATAAAAAAAAAAAAAAAAAAATTTTATTCTATATATAAATATAAAATATAAAAAGATCTTTTTTGTTCTTAGAGAAAGGTATACAAAATATTTAACAATAAAAATTCCTTTTGCTACAAATTAAAATTTTTGTTAAAATAAACTACTGTATATTAAATTTGAAATAAAGCTATGCAAACTTATATAATTGGTTCTCATAACCGGGCGGGTCATTAGACCCAAGATAAGAAATTTTAATTTTCGGGTGCAGTAAAAAATTAACCGGGCGGGTCATCAGATCCAAAATAAGAAATTTTAATTTTCGGGCACAGTAAGAAATTAACCAATTAGATTTTATTACAAAATTATGCTAAAACATACGTCACATGATTTGATTGGTAATACATATAAAAGCACTAGCTATTACGTACTAATATTCTCTATTTCATTACAAGATTTTTTACTGCTTTTATTCATTTATAACGTCTTTTTGAATTTGTATTACAGCTGTTACACATCGGTATATATTTTTTTCTACTTTTTCAACATTAGTAGTACCACAATTACAACAAACATTAGGATAAATTTTTGCTGAGTAATACAGCTTTTCGATAGGAGAAGCACATGTCCAGGAATCATTTACAAAAATATAGGTAAAAAGCTTCTGAATGAGATTGCTAATCACATTTTCACTACTATCAAAATTTCTAGGCTCAACAGTATCATGGTCGCTTTGATTATCCTCTTCATCAGATACGGCAATACCATATTCAAAATTGGAACTTTTTTCACCATTATCGTTTCTATCCTCATTATCAGATTCAATTGGAAACTCCACTATTTCAGGTAATATAGTATTATAATTATCATCGAGACATCTATTAGCCGAAGTTAATTCATTGGTATTTGTAAATGATGTTCCACAAGTATATAGGATTGTATCTAGAAATTGATAAAGTATTTGACAATCCTTATCTGACATCTTTTTTGCACTGAACAGAAGTTGTGGTTTATCACATTCTGTACAAGTAACAGTAATTTTCACATTCTTAGCACGTAGTGCAGTGAGGCAAAATGGCATTGTATACTTTGATCTGTTTTTTTGTTTCATTTTCTTAGATTGCAATTGAAAAATAGTTTCTTGATACGAAGGTCTATACTTTTCAGTCGTTATAGTACCGTATAACTCCTTGAAAGACTTATAGTGGAAATTATTTCCTGGAATTGGATCAGGGAGGCAATAGAGTTGATTAAATACCTCAAGAGAATACTGGGCAGTTTGCATATTGTACAATTATCCTTTCCACATTTCTTTATTGTAAAAGAATAATGACGAGTTGTACAACAATAATCGTAAAAGTCTTTTAAGCATTGCTTTAAAAAATATTGATATAAATTTTTTTATTTTTTTATATATATTTTTTTTATTGTCTTATTATTTTGATTTCAAATTATAATATTCACTTACTCTTTGTTTTATATGTTCCTTAGTACTATTATCATGGGTTACGGTCTTATCAATCTGGTAAATTGCTTTCTAAAAAGTTTCTATTTCTTCATCTAATACGGCATTGAATGTTTCAAATGGAATATCTTTTAAACACTGCCTTTCAAATATTTTACGAACAAGACAAATAGGAGTTTGAATACTTTCAATTAGCTTATTTTGGAATGTAGGGTTTGATTCTGCAATTTTTCTAATTTCTTTCATTGTATTCGACTTGCTAAGAAGTTTTTCATATTTGTCTTCCATTTTGCTACACATTAACCCTACACTTTGCAATCCTAGATTTAGTGCCGACATGACATGTTCAACGGGGTTTTTCCATAAGTGATATGGTGGCGTTCTTACAGCAACAAGATAATCAAGATCAAGCTCTAAAAATAAACAAATATATAACAATTGAACTCTAACGAATGTACATCTGTGATTAGGACCTCCATCTGTGTATAAACATAATACAGGTTTGCTTGTTTCTTGTATCCAAAGAATATTATAGAGCTCTGCCATATGTTGTAAAGAGAAGGATGGTTAAAATATTGGATCTTTTAAACAGATATTTACCTTCCCTGTGTAAAAATCATCATCAATTGTTTCCAGAATGTCGCATAACATTGTTATGCTTGGTATCATTCCAGTTTTTGTAAAATCATGGTCACTTACTACAAATTTTGTATCTTTCCCAACTATTACCTGCTTACTCCTATCTACTGCTACTACTGGATACCCTGGCTTACCAATTTTACATCAATGTTTGTTATCAAGAAAAACAAGCATTGATATGTCACGAAACTTAATAGCAAACTCTTTTTCATATCTAAATAGTGCAGATGCATAATGTACATCTGGGTGGTCAGCATATAATTGCTGAGCTTGCACTATAAATTTTAATGGCAGATGACCTGTATATTGCAAACTACTTTTGTATGTTGGATTTTTGGGCCAGAATTGTAATCTGAGCCACTGCTCACTGCGAATTGGCGTATTAGGTGGACACATCAATTCAATTTGTCAAAGTAGATCTTTTGCTGAAATGGCTGTGGCTAGATGTACGATTAGATCATAACCGCATTCATCAACTGCAGTGACTAAATCTGAAGCTTTTCCTGCGAGATAATTTGCTGCTATGTCCCAAAATATTTTATATTTGTCTGACTTTTCTTCATTATGCTCACGTAAATTAATTATTATACTAGGATCACCAAGTGTTAGGGCCAATCTTACACGAGCATCTACTTTTGCTTCATTTACGCTTTCAGCAACTAATATATCACCAGATAACACGCAATAAATTATTCTCAAGGGTGCTGCTTTTACTTTTAGCAGCAAAAGATCACATGTGCGAAAGTAATTTTTGCGCATAGCACGAGTATGGTAATGAGGTGCGTCATTTTGCAATTCTCTTATAATTCTTGTATTTTCTTGTGCTATTTTTGTCTCACTAGCATTTTCATCAATTCTCCAAACAGAAATACTATTATATGCATTGTTACCTGAATTATATTAGTACTCACCAATTTTGAACATAAACGCTTCCTCAAGATCCTTTATAAAATGAAATTGCTGCCTAAAATGAAGAAAATTGTAAGAATGCATATAGAGGTTATTTTTTTTGGTTTGAAATAACTTTAAAGAACATAGTACTATGTTCTATAAGGTTTACTTGACAACTATTTTTCTAACAATATTTTCAAAAAAATGGTTGTCAGACAAATGATATATAACCGTTCTATATATGTTAAGTATATATTTAAATTACACACATTGGTTCTAACAGCAAATATTCTTCAATATTAAGTGGTTTCCAAAAAGGAAGTTCTTGTAAAATATTTTTAAGTTCGTAATATTTTTTTCATTTTGTGGCTTTATCCAAATATTAGACTGATGAACTTTTATAGATGTAGCCTGTTCAACGTCTCGAACAAAAACCTCACTTCCATGATTAGTTGCCGTTAGTGTTCCTATTAAACCTAGGTTCAAAGTTCATGAACATGTTCAAAGTTTTGAATAAAGAAAAAAGTATATAATCGCAAAGATAAAAATA